TGTGGCTGGTAACTTTCTAAAGTTACCAGCCATTTAGAATTTCCACTAGCCAAATTTTTTCCGGTGAAAATAAGAGAAATTATGAGTGCCACTGAATGCATTTGATAATTTTATTAACATTGTTGGCATGAAAAACACATATAAAGTACAATACAAGACAGAAAGTGCAAACATTTCATTTCAAGTTTGGGATCTATCTCTATTAGGGATGTGCACGAATATTCGAATTTTCGCTCTGTAATTATTATTAAAAAAATAAAATACTAATACTAATACTTTTTTTCTTCAATTTTTTTTCGCAGTTATAATTAAATGCACTGGGTGGAGCATTTAACAAGTGGATTGTGTTTTTGATCACATAATGTCGTTGTCTGCCTCGCGAAGTTTGGAATTACTTAGATGAAAATGATAGCCTATTACAAAATGGAATTACGTTTAATCAATTGTTAATTATTATTATTATCATAATATCACCACCACAATGAGAAATCACATGAAATCCAAAGAAACAGCAGTCGACTGAGGAAGCAGTCCATCACTGCATTAACGACTGCAGGTCAGCAGCTGTACCCCGATATCTTCTGGTAGCAAAATGATTTTGACATATGCTTCCTTTAAGTTTCGTTGAGGGAGACAGGTTTAAGAACAGAAAACGCAAAGTGCTGTTACTTCACTTTGCACACACACACACACACACACACGCGCGCGCGTCTCTGCAACGCCTGTGTGTCAGCGCAGCGCGTTTTCTCACTCGAGCATGTGGATATTATTGTTTTTCTCAACATGAACGTGAAACAATATAAACACGATAATCATATGCTGACTCGAGTATGTAGGCTACGTTCTGTACGATAACTGCGCAGTCTGCTTTTTTTTTTTTTGCGTTTTTTCCCCGTTTGCGCTGCCTGAGCTTAAATGCTTTTGTTGTTTATATATTTTGTTTACACATATTGTTTAATGTTTTCAACTAAAAGAAAACCTTAAGATATATAGTAAGCTTGTTGTGTATAGGCTATTGCCTAATGTATAAGCTTGTAAGAAATAATGACAAAAACCTTAAACTTAAAAAAAATAACGTAGGCTATCTCTCGTTCAACGACATTTAAATTTAAACCCAGAAGTCTGTCCCAACCACCCCACATTTAGTTTAATCTTAACTTTTTACTTTAGCTACTTTACTAGCTTCCTCCTCTTTCAGTCTGCTCCCTGCTCTGGCTCGTTCTTCATCTTCCTTGTGTTTTCTGGTGGACGGACGCGTACGCTCCGTTTGTTTCCATGATCATTTCTCGCGCTGGTTTCACTGCAAACTGCGCGCAGCCAATGGGCGTATGAAACGTCATCACGTAGCATTACGGCACAGTGTTTATGGGAAATGTAGGAAGTACTGCCAGAGGGATAAATGACCGAGAACAGAACCTTATGCATCACCGGCCAAACTGGCTAGTAAGTTTTTATTAACACCCGCCAAAATGAATTTTAACCCGCATTTGGCGGGTTGGCGGGTGTTAATTTAGAACCCTGTTTGTAATATATCTAATGAATTGTCCTTTTCAATATTTCTAGCCACTCTTTGCATCCTGTGCTGGAACAGCATCTGGAGCTGAATTATTCTCCATTTTTGAATTATTGAATTATTGAATTATTCAAAGTTTTTTGGACTCACTTGGGGCCTTGTTGTTTGGACATGTTTGTCTGGTAATGAAGTGGTGAAAATTTATTTGTGTCTGTCTTTTTCAGAATCATTTTATTACGATCATTTTGGTCAACTTTTGGTTTTAAATGTCATTTGCGTGTTTCTTCTTTGTGTGAAGGGCCATGACGACTAATTTGTTTCAAGTAATTAAAAAAATATTTAATTTCATGTCCATTTTAAAAAAAAGTTTGTAAATAAAAATGAAAACCAAATAATACAAAATACACTGTTTTATGACTTTTTTCATGCATATTTTAAAGTTATAAATTAAATAAATGTTGACCTGTTTTTCAAGATTAGGATGTTAAATAATTTGTTTGTTTTGTGAAGTAATAGGGGAATTAAGTTGTGCGTTATACAACACTTAATGTATTTAAAAACAATTGTTTAAAGCTTATGCAGTTGATAAATAATTAACATTTAAAATTCAGCTGCCAGTCATTAATATTCAAAAATCAGGAAAATATATTGTATATACTGCATTTTACATACTTCCTCTAGATATAGTGAATACAAAGATTCATGTAACTTACTGTAAAAAAATACAACAATTAAAAAATACAGTTATTTACTGTAATCAGCGAATACAGTAAAAATCTGTAAATTAAATTACAGAAACGCTACTGTAAAAAATACAGTAACTGGCTGGCAACCCTGCTGCCAGTATTTTACTGTAAAATTTACAGGAAATTTTTAGTAGTCATTAGACCCGTCGCTCCCTGAGCTCTGGGTTGATGTTCTAAGAAACTCGATGCCGGTGTAAGTCTGGCAGGCCCCTCTTGCTGATAGATTTATCCTGCTGAGGCCTCCAGGCGAGCCTGTAGCTGTTTTCTAACATGTGTCAGGCCTCCTCTCCTCTCCTTCATCCTGCTGAGGCCTCCATGCAAACAGCATTGCAGGTAGTAGTACAGAAAAGGGCCCTCTCGATAACAGAGTTGTTTTTAGGCCCTTTGTCTAAGCTCTCCACTATGGACTTTCACATTTGAGATTAAGTTCTGGAAGAGCCACATTGGTGTAAGTGGGCAGGCCTCCTCTGCTCTTGAGTCATCCTGCTGAGGCCTCCGCTTCCCATAACACTACTAAGCAGGTTGTTGTCTTCAGCATTAAGCATGATAGCCTCCCTGGTATGGGGGTTGACTCTGTCCCCCCGAAAGTAGCAGGCTATAGGGCCCATAGGCTCTGGGCCGTACTCCCTTAAAGGAACCCCCCTCTGAAAGTCGGGCTGTGGTACCCATGCCCTTGAGCTGGCAAGCCCTTTGTGTGATTCACGGAGTTCCCCCTCGCTTAGCATGGAGCTCGGGCAGTGGCCGTAGGGAGTAGTGCTACTGTTAGCCTGACGTGTAAGCAGTAAGGGGCTTTAACTTTGAGTTAATGTGCTTTTGCTTGTAGCCATAGTTGCTAAAGCATCCCCTCAGCATGGCAGCATGGGTAGATCGTTTCCCTAGCGCTTTGACGCAGTGCGAGTTCCCTTTCGAAAGGGAACGTCTCAGGTTACGACTGTAACCTATGCTCCCTGAGAACAGGGAATGAGACACTGTGTTTCGTCGCCATGCATCCGGTCTGCTTTTACAGTCCCTTCAGACGAAGAAGTGGATGACATGTTCTCTAGGCGCCCCTTTTATACTTCCGGGTCGCGCTAGAGCATGACGTCATAGCTGACGCCGGCCAACAATGTTGTCGTGATTATACAGTGTTTCAGTCATCAGTCACGCTGAGGCGTTTCCCCTAGCGCTTTGACGCAGTGTCTCGTTCCCTGTTCTCAGGGAACATAGGTTACAGTCGTAACCTGAGACGTTTTGCAGATTGTGAAGTATGAATGACAAAAGTGTTCAAAGATTTTGGAAAATGTGGTCATTGAATGCATTTTGTTTGAAAGAAATGAAAAACGATTCACAGTTTGGTCCGCATAGACTTCTGTTTCGCTGAATGTGTGAAGAGTTTTGAAAATGTGGCTTCAGTATTGACAGATGCTTGTTAGCAATTGAAAAAATCTGTAAGCAGTCATTCAGTTCCCCTCTGACTTTTTTCAATTTTGTCTGATCAGGAAAGCAAACCACTGATTTTAGAAACTAGAAACTACAGTGAAAAATTATCATTTATCAATTAAATCATATGAGTCAGAAAAGGTACTTTGAAAACATTTGGTTTGTTAGTTCCCCAAAAAGTGTAACTTGTGTTAAACGGTTCATTTAATGTGATCGATTTTATATTTCCTTTGATGATGAAAATATAATCACTGTTTTCCCCATGGAACAAAGCTTGATAAAACAGCCAAAATGATCCCTACTTATTTTTCTGAGCACTGATTCATCAGACTACTGTCTGGTGAGCCGAAAACATTTTTCCAGTGCCTGCAGATTTGGCAACATGTTCAAGCTAACCGAACACTGATTCATTTCTAGATACGCTTTAGGCCCCATCCACACTACTGCGTTTTAGTTTAGAAACGGAGAATTAAAACGAATACGATCTCCGTCCACACCAGCGTTTTAGCTGCGTATTAGAATTGATCTCCGTCCACATTAAAACGACTGAAAACGCGGATCACGTGACCATTCACCAACACTGGGCATGCGCGTGCCGGTGTAAACACAACTTCATTGATAAAATTGCTCTGGGTTAACCCCAAACCGACGCTCCATGTACGGTCAACGCCACCGCTGCACACGGGAATTATCACAGATCGCTCGAATAATAGCTTGACTCCGGCGCATGTAGGCAGTTATAGCGTTGTAAAATGCAGAATTTACTTGTACAACAGCTGCTAGCAAAGATATACGCCATGACTGATGACACCCAATCATAGAGCCGAGCGTGAGCCTCTACTACGTCATCGTTTCTAAAGTCCTCCGTTTTGACCCGTCTACACTAAAACGCCCTCCGGAGATTCAAAACGAAAAACGGATCGGCAGCGTTTCTAAACTTCTCCGTTTTGGGTCTCCGTTTTTGCCGTTTTAGTGTGGACGGGAGGTGCAAACGTAGCAAAAGGTCTCCGTTTTTAAACGAAAACGCAGTAGTGTGGACGGGGCCTTAACCTCTCTGGACACTAGGCGTTTCTTCTCCTTCACCAGAATACAGTTATGCATCAATGCATAATCCCTCTCCAGCTGAGATCCTTTATCATTATGTGTTATGCTTTCTTCTCATCTGCACTGGAATCAGTCTTGCGAAGATAATCTGATGTTAAAAGATACCCTGCAAAGTTGTCTTGACATCTCACTCTTTCTATGTGCAAGCATGCTATGAATGCCAGGAAATGAACCATGGGTTTGATCAAGTGCCCATGATTTTCTGAAAGCTGGATTACCTTTTTCCCCAAAGATCCATCGCTTGTGCAAACTGGTGGTGAAGAAGATTGGTGTCTGAGTGACACACATCAGAAAGTCAGTGACAGCCAGATTAATGATGAACATGTTGGCAGGTGTCCTCAGACTCCTACTCCTGAAAAGACGCACAAAAGAACTGTCAAAAACTGTCAAAGAAAAAAGAAGCTCATCAATGGCAGTGGTGTTTTATGTTGTGTTATTTATATACAATAATGTTAAATAGAATATATTGTATGAATGGATCTAAAATTATATACATATCATATTCATATATAATAATTAATTAGGTTTTATATAATAACATCATATTTTCTGTTCCCTGATTTCTCTCATTTAGAAAGGACAATAACTATAATGATAAAGATATACTGTAGTTCTAAAAATCGTTCTAAATATAAAAGAAAAAAGTCGACATTTGGAATCACTTTTTCTAAACAGCTGATAAATCAGCCAATCAGAATTCTTCCTGCTTTAAAGAGCTCAAGCATTTAAAGTGCCAGACGACAAAACTGCAGCACACTTATAAACAGGAAGATATCGTTATATATAATATAGTTATCATTATCGTTATATGTATAGCTGGTGAGAACAGGCCTTTAATGTGAGATTCCCAAACTTTGGGATTTTTTATATTTTTTAGGCTATATAAAATAAATATTTTACCCTGAGATTTTAAATTAATATTTCAATAATATAACAGCATGTTCACATGTTCAAGATACTATATATGATGCTGGTTAATAAGAAGAAGACTCCTGCTTCAAACAGATATTCAGTATTCAAGCATACTGATTACTCCAATGTTTTGCATAATCCGCAAGCTTAATGGTCATATGCAGTTTTTAGTAAGTGTTTTATTTTTATTGTTTTTTTATTTTATTTTATTTTATATATATATATATATATATATATATATATATATATATATATATATATATATATACATATATATATACATATATATATGTAATTAACTATTAGCTTTTCATCAATTTATTAATCCCCTGCAGTGCTCAGTTTGGGAAAACCCAGTCTAAATCTTAATATGCAGTTTGCAGTGCAAACATGACTCCAGATCTAACAAGAATTTCATTGGCTATCACACAAGATATAGCCTACTGGACTCACTTGCAGAAGGCATACATGACCAAGAAGTTTCCCACCATGCCGGTGATGCCCACTGCCAGAATGACAGAGCCGATGGTGTAGTGAGCGTGGTCTGGGACATCCACAGTGGGGAAAAGATGTCGAACATCCTGCACCATTGCCACCTGTGGGCAGCGAGAGAGAGAAAAAAAAGAATGCTAGCAGATGCTTTCAGATAAGGACAATATAAGTAATGTAAAACTCAATTATTAAGTTTCAATGTCCTTTAGTACAAAGTTATTAATATCTTAATTCACCAAGATACCATTAGTTTCAAATCCCCTAGTTCCTTAAATCTCTATAAATTGAATACATCAATAGCCAGCTGAGATGGAATTAAGCAGACATATTTAGTGTTTTTGAAGACGCAGTGGATTGTGCTGTTGGATTCACTTATTAGTGTGTGGAACAGAGAACACAAAAGCTTTTAGAATGGCAAGCGGTGCCTGCTTTTGTTTTTTTGCCCTAGTGTCAAGTTCAGTTCTTAAGAGGCAATTAGTACATCAAACACTAGTTCGATTCACCAGTGTCAACGTCTTAGTCGGACACTTTTTGCCTCAATGTATCCATTTATACTTCTATCAATCACTGAACCACTCTATTGACTCGAATGGCTGAAGCCAGCCAGAGCAAAACAAGTGGAATTGACACCATCACTTTTTATAGTTAGAGCATATAATGGATGAGTAATACAGACTAGTAAATAATGGCAATCATTGACATTTCTCATAAATAAAACACTCTGCTGTACAATGACTGGAACATAAAGTTTATGGCTAGCCTTTGAAGAAGGGGATGTGGAGATGGTATAGATAGTGGATATTGCAAGACTGCTCAGTATCTCGAATACAAAGTGAGAGAAGAGGACATTTTAGAACTAATGAGTTTATAATCTGCCACAGATCAGCGGCATATTAATGCACTGTTGTGTGTATGTGGACATCTTTGCTCATGATATACTGTAACAGAGGAGAGGGAAAATAAATGGGTCCTTAAATAAGTTTAGCATCTCATTGAAGTAGATCCCCCTCCACTACTAATGGAAGAAGAATGCTGAAAACTTTGTTTTCTGCAAAAACACTGTTTTAGTTTAAAACATTTAGCATTAAACCTGATGATCTTGAAAATGATCAAAAGAACATCTGACCTTCTGACTTTGTATGAACTTAATATCTAGAAATAGTGCAGAATCTGAAAAATCCTAAAACTGTCAGTCTAAAAGACTTGTTCAAGCTGAAGCCAAAAGAAGGCAACATTGTGCTTAAGTAAAGCTTGTCAAGAATCTTGTATTTACCTTTGGTCAATCATGAGCACTTCCTAAATTGATCCACTCCAACAAGCGATACTCTGCTTTATTGGTCTCAAAAGTAATACAATAAGGTTTGCAGCACATGATTACGCATGTGGTTGCAATTCCCCAAAACAAACTTTAACATTTTGTTTAGGTTGCAATGAATGACATTCTCTGCCATGATTGTTATTCATTTCTACCACTCAACAATCGGTTGATCAATCAATTGACAAACCTATACCCAAATGATCAACAGATTAAAATAGCTTCCAATTATTTCACACCCTGCAAGACGTGATTCGGAAAGTCACTCACTATTCCTGTAAATCCATTCAGGTAGGCAAGCCATGTAAACATAAATCAGACTATCTATAAACACACAGCTCTTGAATGCAGTGTTTTTCATTTTCATTTTGGTGCCTCTCATTTACTGGGCTTTTTCTTTACACAGTGGGAGGTTTGCAGAAATCATGGTTTGTGGCACAGATGCTCTCCTACAATGTGATAATTTATAACTGGAATCAGGTGTTACTCACAGGAACTCAAAATCAAAACTGAAATCGAAAATTTAAAAGTATAATACAGCCTCACTGTTACCTTGTCTTTTGCATCATGTTAAGGGAACTCAGAGTAGATTTATTCACAGCAAACAGTGCCATTTGTATGACCATGTTGCACTACTAACATATACTGTGTAACAGAAAAAAAGAAAAAAAATCAGTATTTGACAAATTTAACTCTTGGAAATTGATCATTTTATTTAGCAAGGACACATCAAGTGATCAAAGGTGACAGTAAAGACATTTATATTGTTACAAAATATTTAATTTAAAATAAATTATTATCTTTTAAACTTCAAAAACTCGTTGGTATCATGGTTTAAAATAAAGGATATTTTAAATGTTACAAATATTTCACAATATTACTTTTTATATATATCAAATACTGTAAATGCAGCCATGGTGAGCATAAGAGACCTTATTCAGAAACATTCAAAAAATCTTACTGATCCCAAGCTTTTGAATGGTAGTAATAGGCAGTAACTATTCAACTGAAATAACCACCCAAAAAACAACAGCACAATTTCTGAAGACTCCAGAAAGCAGTGTATCCAATGTTCATGGCCTCGACTGTCATTTCACCTAATCTGAAGAGACAGAACTGATATTTGCTCTAATCCTCATATGTCAGTGCTTCTCTGTAAGGACTATCGATGAGGGATTTGAACGAGAGCTTGTGCTGCTACTTGGAGGGAGGATTCTGCGGCACAAATAGATGAGAAGTGCTCTTAAAATGTCACTATCACTTAGATATTCAGTGAGTGATATACAGGGACAAGGAGAAAAAGAGAGAAAGACAGAAATGGATAAAGCAGAGGAAATTACATTTCACCACAGCATAAGGAGCTTATTTGTACCATTAGTTGAGTGAGATTGATGCCATTGGTTTTCATTTTAGGGCCGCAGTTGTTTAGTATAACACCAATGCACAGCAAAGATCCAAAATAATTTAATTACATTTAAATAATCCAAACAATTTACCAGTTTAAGTGCTATTGATATGTTTGCATTATTTACAAGACTGAGAGCAACAGATTGTGTTGAATGAACTTGTTTGTCTGTGCCCTACTTATTATCATAGCTTGTGGCTAGTAGAAACAGTCTGGATAAGAGCAAAGCACACACAATCAATTACAAATCCGTCAGCTGACAGATTCCTGATCAGTAAGGGACGTCTCTGAAGCCCACGGCCCCAAACTTCTCAAGCAGAAACTGTGATAAAGGATGGCTGATCTAGGCTGATCCACTGATTTGAGAAAAAAAAGAAGAAAAAAAAATTGGGGGAGATTATCTACTCCGCCAGTCCAACAAAAGCTGAGAACTTTCCACAAAGAGCAGGGGTGTATTTCCTGAAAGAACTTTCCTGAGGGAAGGTGAAGTTGAATTCAAACTAAAGTTTTCAAACTGCACAATTCCTGTTGATTGATGTCTACAACATTACTAGGGAATAACATTATACCGAGAGACAATTTTCAAAAAGCACTCTGACAAGTGCAGCTCGGAGATACTGATGATTTCAGTCTGCATGCTTTAACTGATACCAATGACCCATTTTTCTTGGCTTCTCATTAGTTCTTACCATATGAATCATTATTTAACCCTCAGATGCGTGTCTTCACTACAGTGGAAAGATCTTTGAAACCCATTTTTAGCCATTCCAGGTGTGATGCTACATGTGATGCTGATGTTACCTTTGACCCTTAGGCTGTGTGTCCAACAAAGCATCTTTAGCCAGCTGAAAATGGCAGATGTTCTTCTGAAAACGACTAGCCACAGGTGTTTGAGTGCGCTTCATTCAGTTGAGAGGCAGAATATCAGTGGAAGTGTTACTATCTGATTTCACAGGTAGTTTGTTTCTGAATATAAAAATGGCGCCACAATGTGAAGTACTTGCTCTGGCCCTTGTTTTAAATGATTTGTCATTGTGCAAGCAGGATGTGATTGCTGGAGTGCCCTTGAGAGCCACCAGAGGGCACTCCACATCAGACTATTGTCATTCCCTCATAAACTACATCTCCCATGATTCTCTGTCTGGACTCATCAGCATTCATTGTTTTCACCTGTCTCATATCATCTTGTTTACTCACCCTATATAAGCCTGGTTCTTTCTGTCATTCTCTGCCAAGTCTTGTTTAGTGTTTGTACTGCAATTCTGAGCGTGTTTGTGTCCTGTTTCTCCCGTGTCCTGGTTATCTTGATTCTCTGCCTGTACCCTCAGATTTCTCTCTTTGCTTCAGCCCTGATCTGTTATTGTTTGGATTGTTTGTTTGTGTATGACCCTTGCCTGTTATCTGGATTACGTCTTTGGATTACCCTTTCAAAATAAATACTGCATTTGGATCCTCAACCTTTGTGTCTCGGAGCAGTACGTAACAGTGATACTGGGCTAATTTTAGATTGTTGTCACTGGCAGTTTGTGTAGTCCGCGGGTTGAAGCGACCACCCAACCACACACCCCGAAGGTAGATTTTTACCCCCTGGAACGTGATTGGGCTAGTTTTGGCAGTGATTGGCCTATAAACGAGGCTTCAACAACTGAAAAAACAAACAAACGCTGGCTTTAGAAAAAAAAACACTTTGGTGGACACACGGTCTTACAGTAATTCTATATGACTGTCCTCTTTATATGTCATTGTGTCTTTTTCAGTTTATGACAAAATGATGCCCCAAGCACCTCTGGAATATTTAGCCTTCGATAAATTCAACATTTCTGATGCACCAAGCACTTCTGGAATATTTAATATTATCATCTATTGCAATTGGTGAAATTAGATTGAGATGGATAATATTCTTGTTTTGAAGTAAAAAGATAATAATTGTTCCTTTTATAATTAAATTATTAATGCTTCAGAGGGTTAAATATATTTTCTAACAATCTCATTGCAAAGATTTCAGTTGAATTGCTCTACCTGACATGACACATGAAGGAAAATCTTACACAGCACATCTTTCATTAGTATTCCATGTCTTTGTCAGGAGGTGAACTAGTGGTTTAATGGCTAAGGCTGGTAGAGTATAACGTTAGCAACGTCAAGGTCATGCTAATAAAATATTTACCTTACACTGTACGGTGCTAAGATTAAAAGCATCTATCAGATGCATAAATATAAATAAAAAATGGTACTGCAGTGGTCCTAAAGAATCAACAATATGTTGTCCACAAAGAACTACCAAACTTTGAAAGGCCCATAATGGCTCATTAAAAACCATGAATGAATGTGGATTTTAACATGGAACAATGTAAAGTGAATATCTTTTATGTATGTAAGGATACTTTCACACTCTTGCTCTCTCTCTGTGGGAAAGAGGTCTGATCTGTATATGTCCCTTCAAGGCATGTAAATAGCTTTGCAAAATCAGACAGAAACATCAGGACACATAAAGAACACCCACCATGAGAATTATGAATTCAGATGTTGAGAAGAATGCTAATGTCGGGAAGCATTGAAGGACACGGCAAAGTCACTGGAGCTTGAACAGATGTTCTATTTAAATCTCTCTCCCTCTTATTCTCATCGTCTTAGTCTTTCTGATGTTTAAAATATACATCTATATGCCAAAAGTATTACAACATACAAATACAATAGCCAGTGCTCGAACATTTAATGTCAAATTCATTGACATTAGGGAGTCAGCGCTCAGAAATTGTATAGGTTTCTATCAAATAATGCAGGAGAAGTCTACCTATAAAAAACATTAAAATGCTACAGTAATAAATCATTTTGTAGCAGTGCTTCCCAACAGAATACCAAGCTAGGCTGAAATCCTATAACAGTCAAAGATCCAGAAGAACATTAAAGCAGCACAGGGGCATGTTGGCCTTATGAATTAACCAGAAAAACCTGTACTATTGTCTTTTCAAGATTTCAGAGTAAAACAGCATTTATTGTCGAAGACAAACACATGCTCAATTGATATTTTCACTGGTTTTTATTGTTGGGCAAATGCATGTATTTTGCCTTTTTTATTTAAATTTTAAAAAGTAGCTGATTCCACCTGTTGTTTTTGAGACCACATGGGCATCTCAGAATTTTTATTTCAGGCCTTTGGATTTGGGAATTTATGCAACCAAATATAAAAAAGGCTAATTGTCAAGCAGTATCATCACATAAACTGTTTGACTGATAGATGATCAAATATTAGCTGTGGGCAAACTGTGAGAGCCTCACTGACAATTACAAATGTATTTGGCACAGTTTTAATCCTATTATCTGTAGTCCCTGTACTACCATGAACTTTCACTTTTCCTTTCAAGCTCCTTTTCAAACTCACATTTGCATCACTATCTCCCACACATTGATTTTCTCCACACCTGGAATCAGTCTATTTTATGGATATGTGAGAGGTGAAAACAGTTACACAGAATATAATAGTACATAGCAGCAGGGATAACAACACAATGACACAAGGTTCAGATGAGAAAATAATTCCATACCCTAATTTAGTGCTCCATAGTTGGGTGAAAATAACTATTCACAATGACTGCCGTTGATGTTTGAAAAAATAATACATGGATTGAAGAATATCAAATCCGGGAAATGGAAGTTATAGAGGTTAAGCGTTGTATTCACATCACCTCAGCATATTAATGCATGCTTTGATATTAAAAGAAATAAAGTCTTGATTCATGAGAGGAACAGGGCCCCCATCTGTTTGAAAAAATGCCACAACACTCATTCATATGGCACTACGCATTCCCCTAACATTTGTGTGGAACTGTCAGTAAAGCATCAGCAAATAGTTTTTGTTTTCCTGGATAGTGTTATGTTTTAGAAAAATTTGGTTTTAAAGCCCTCAAATGGGATAAAGCTCTTCTTCATTATTATGCTATTTCAATATCATTTTCATGTGATGAAATGATATGCAAATTTTGCTCTCATGCACTACATTATGCATGGTATCGTTTATTTGTTTTGTTTCCTCCCGAATTCATTTTCTGTATGTCCAAGTACTCATTTTAATCGGCAAACAGGAAATATCCAGGAATAGCTCTTTAAGAAATTAATCCCATGTGCGAGATCCCAACATGATCCTATAGGACTACTTTTATTACTGATATTTGAATATGGCTGATTCTTACTCAGTCTGCTTTGTCTAGGTCTGGTAAAGCTCATTTGCTGAGTAATTCCAGAGTTGAAACACCTCTGGTCTGATGTGTGTGCGGGTGATAGCGAGCAGCTGCAATCCAGCAGCGTATACTATCACGAAGACACCAGCACACCACACAGATTAGACATATACTTGATCCAAACATGTCTCCATTTTATCACCATGAGGAATGAGTACCACTTCAATTATTCTTACAAACTAGAGTGCCTAACCTGCATAAAATGTATTTATAAAAATGAATTAATAGGCCTGTAGCTACATGTGGGGAGAAACACGGAATAAAAAGACGAAATGACATTATATTTAGTTTACTCTTTAGACTAAATTTATTAAATACATGCTTACCAAATACCTATGGAACATATTTCTGCAATAACTCCAGTCCTCGACATAATTTCACAGAATGGATACATATCTTCATTTCGAAATTTTCCAACTCCAACTAACGATCTTTTGAACATCATTTCATGCAGTAATTTTAGGTCATGTTCCTAATTAAAACGAGCATGAAGTTCCCTGATTTATCCTTTGTTGGTGTTTTAAGACATAAGTCTCAATTGTATCTTCTGACACGAGCACGTTTCAATGCTTCATTAAACTTATTGTGTGTGAATCAACTATGCAACCATGCCACGCACATCCAGGCTGTAACAATGAGGCGTGATTAAGTAGCTAAACATTTATAAGGCAAATCCTTGCACGTCCATTTAGAGGGACAAACTGAATATCTGAGGTTCCTCTCCTCTCCTTATATATATATATATATATATATATATATATATATATATATATATAACCTATTGGGAACTAAATTTGTAATTAGTTATAAGAAAGGAACATGTTTAAAAAAAATAGCCGAAAGTGAATGATCGTCGACGCAACACGCAACTTCTAACTTTTGTGGATACGTACTAAAGTGCGTTTAAAACATAACACGTGCATGTAAAAATACTTCCATGTACTTTGTTTTGACTACCTTTTTGGAGGGAGTCATCCCAAATCGCACCCTTTCACCTGAAACAAGCTGAAACGGATGAACTTTCCCAACGCTCCTCCGATTACGCACGCGCTCTAAGCGTTAGCTTTCAATATTTTATTTCCATTTTTAGTGTGCGTTAATAATATACAACTGTCTTAAAATCCAGCACACATGATCATATATGTTACAACCAGGGTTTCCGTTGTCCGGTAATTACCGGACATTGGCCGGGGAAAAAATGAAATGTCCGACAAAATTAAATCTCTCCGGTCAAATTGTCCGATTAAAATTGCGTAATAATCCCGCCCCCCTAACACAATATGAATTTGAGAATAAGCCTAAAATGTATAAAGAAAAAATACACCGACCTTTGGCTATGTTATAGGAACAGGCTCTACCGTTTGAAAGTTATTAAACAACATCGCATGCTGCATTTCAAATTAAGCGCACGCCTAGAACGGCTGTAATATAGACCTAAACAACGAACGATTGAGTGAGACGTTTCAAATATGGCCAGGTCCATTGATATTATTGATAAAGTTGATAAATTGATAAAGTTGAAGATGCAGACTCGCCATCTTCGCAGTAGTGAACGCGCCTATAAGAAGTGTGCACGCGCCGACGCCTCCGTGTCCTGATTGGCTAATTGTCCAATATTTGCTTCTTATTTAATAATCCAGGCAAATTTGTTGATGAAACATTGATTAAAATTAATATACAATTTATACAAAACGAAATTTTCAAGCAAAAATAATATTCGAAGATCGTTGGGTTGATTATTATTCGAAAATCGCACCCCTCCACCACATGCACACACATGCATTAGACTACACACCAGAGCATGTGAGCAAAGCGGAGCGGTGTGACGCTTATTATAAGTTAAAAAACTTAAATATACGTTTCATTTTTATAATTAATATAATGTTATTATTTTTTTATTTCATTTATGTTGATTAGGCTATATGAAAAGGGAACCGCATGAGATGAGTAAGATAGGATCATAAGATATATATCGGAAAACATTTGGAATGGGTCAGACATGATTTTGACCACTTATTTAGTTTTGTTTTGTAGAAAGCCTTTCTTTAAAGTTTATTTCGTTTTGTATAAATCTTCTTTTTAATCAATGTTTCATCAACAAATTTGCCTGGATTAAAAAATAAGAATGTATTCATGAGTGTGCATTTCTCTCTATAGGCGCGTTCACTGCGAAGATGGCGAGTCTGCATCGTCAACTTTATCAATTTATCAACTTTATCAATAATATCAATGGGCCTGGCCATATTTGAAACGTCTCACTCAATCGTTCGTTGTTTAGGTCTATATTACAGCCGTTCTAGGCGTGCGCTTTATTTGAAATGCAGCATGCGATGTTGTTTAATAACTTTCAAACGGTAGAGCCTGTTCCTATAACATAGCCAAAGGTCGGTGTATTGCATAATCATTACTTTCGCCGGTTCTTTGTGGCAAGCTTTATTTCAGGTGTTGCGTGATATCTCTGCGCCCAAGTAGCAGTGCTTCGCCTGTGTAGAGTCTCCGCAACGGCGATAGATTGAGACGCGCGTCCGAGTGAAGATTGCGCAACTCCCGCAGCGCGTCGTCCATGCAACTGAGAGCAGCGGACACGAGCGCTCAGCTTGATTTAAAAAACAACTGATTTTAGCGCTAGATCTCTTATTTAATAGCGAACTAAATGAGTGATCTGCTAGTTAACTCGAGATGTTAACTAGTTAGCTAGTTATTTATTTGTATTAGGTACATCCGTGCCTCAATGTTTCAAAAAGTGAATGTGTGTGAAACCATAGTAAAAAACAATTGGTGTTAATTGACGCCAATCAGACGTTCATGTTTTTTTCCGTCTATTTGAAAGTTAGGCTAATAATAACATGTTGCATTCCATACGGCCTGATTATGTCATTTTTTAAGTTACATAGCCTGCCTCCAGTTTTCCTCAACTTGACTAATTAAGAGGCGATATTTGACCGGCATATCATCAAAATGTCCGTTAAACGAAACCTCTGCCGGTCACTTTGACCGGCACCATTTTTTTCTAGCGGAAACTCTGGTTACAACAGAGTATACGCTCACAGAAGAATCGGAATCCGTGCGCACCCTACCACTAAACACATGGTTCAACACAAACTCCATCATCTTACCGTAGTGGTTAGCGCGGGCAGCTCCATCAGCTTGTGCGCACTCACTGCGCTGTAATTCAACGGAGCCAGTGTGTCCGCACTCACCGCGATGCTGTTAGGGACTTGAGTGGGGATTCCCATGCTGACCGAGCGCGAAGCGTTCATCGCAGTGGACACGGCGGGCGCAGGGAGAGGAGCTCAGAGATGGTACGCAAAAAGAGTTAGCTTAAACCTGAGAAACAGCATTACTATATGAGAATGTGTTGGATGTCTTCCTCTGCCTATCTGTCTGCAACCTAGAACTAAGCTGCCAACTGCGCCCAACATGTGTGTGTGTGTGTGTGTGATGAGTTTGTCAATGCCAGTAACCATGTGCCGATTCGAGTATGCATGAGGAAGAATGCTCAGTTAAGCAAACTCAAGCATCCCACATACAACACAACAACAGCCCTGTGCTAAGCCCTTCATAATCACACCAAGAGTAAGCCTTGTGTGCCTGTTTGCTCATATGTGAATATGTGCCAACAGGACGTTCATATCAATATAGCCAAGAACCTGCACATCATCAGTCCTTCTCTCCTCTCTCTCTCTCTCTCTCTCTCTCTCTCTCTCTCTCTCTCTCTCTCTCTCTCTCTCTCTCAAACCAACTATCCAGTTCAGTTTTAGAAACAGCTCAGCACAGACATAGGCTACTTTAAAAAAATGCAGATTCAGTGAACCCCAGAGCTAACAATTAAAATGTTATGATTAACAACAACTGCATTTACACACACAAGCTGCACACTACTGACGATGCATTCATTTTCCTAAAATACAAATAATCATTTTTTTAATAAATTATTTTGTTACAACATAAACATCCCTTTTTTCAGGATACTGTATTTTAAAGATATTTTTGTAAAATCCATATAAGCTTTACAGATCTTTATTAAGGAGTTTAAACAATACTTGTTCAATGAACCATAAACAATATTTGCACATGCACCTGTGGAACAATCCTTTAGACACTAACAGTTTACAGGCGGGAGACAATTAAGGTCACAGTTCCAATAACTTAGGACACTAAAGATCGATCTGTTATTACTCTGAAAAACACCAGGACAAAATATGTCCAGAGCCCTACTCACCATGCATGAACATGCCACAGACCTGCTGCAGAAAGGCATGTAGACTGCAGATGTGGCCAGAGCAAATATCTTTGCTAACTTGCAAATGCCTTGGTGGATGAGTGGAGTAACATCTCACAGCAAGACCGGACAAATCTGCTGCAGTCCTTGAGGACGAGATGCACTGCTGGGGTCAAGATACTGACTGCTACTTTTGATACTGACCCCCCTTTGTTCAGGGACTCTTTATTCCATTTCTGTTCATTCCATTTCAGTGAAATTTGGTCAGTTTGTCCCAGATGTTAAATCTTTTTATGTTCATTTACACGTTAAGAAATTTCCAGGAAAAAAAGCAGTTGACGGAGTTTATATCAATTATTATATTATATTATGTTACATTATTTATTTATTATTTTATTTATTATATTGTGTGCGAGTACGACCGTCTGAATATATTTATTGCTTTTTAATAATAGGTGGTCATTTGTGTATTTTGACCACTGGAGGTATTTTAGGAGGAAGGACATGAATATGGGTCATGAATTACTAACAAAGAGCAGCACTGTTATTTAAGGGGAGAAAATTTCAGATTTATTGAGTTAATTTGTGTAAAATCTACTGTTATACAAAGCTTTTTGTGTATAAGGTGCTTGTCACTGCTTCCACAAGACTTATCCTCTTACTCGGCTCCTGCTATTTTATTGGCTTTCCAGTGTCATGAGACACATTGCCCAATGCATGGACAAATCCCAGCAGATCTAGTTGGAATGCATTGTGTTGAAAATGGTTGTAGTGCCATGGTGAGGTAAAACATCTTCATTTCCCTGGTAGGAATGCTATAGTGTGTTTTCATTTTTTTCATTAGATAGGAGAGAGAATAGAAGGAAGAGTAAGAAGCAATTATGGTAAATATTTCAGGTGATGCAACTCTCACCCCTGACCTCTGATTCTCGGAATCTCAATGACAATTAATCTGGAACATTCAGTTAAGTTAAAGACATCTCTAAAGCCTGGCCTTGAAAGAAATGCACGTAATTAGCCCCACATTCATTGTTATCTATGTTTTTCATCAAAAGGATTTTTTTTGTGTAATATTTCGTGTTTGAGAAACTAGGGCACCAAAGAGCAAAGATGAAGACCGTCAATTCATAAGATTTTCAACAATCACATGTAGACTTGTTGACTATGAGGAACAATGTTTTTTTATTTTCTGGACTTTCCGGTATTGATGTGAGGGTTAGTTAAAGGGATAGTTCACCCAGAAATGAAAATTCTGTCAAAGTCAGTCCCAAATCTATGACTTTATTTGTTCTCTGGAACACAGAAAAAGGACATTCTGAATAGTGTACTGGTTATGCTTTTCCATGCAATTATAATGGATGAGAATTTTCAGAAACATAAAGGAATCATAAAACCCATGCGATATGATTCAAGGTATCTGATTTTATAGGCTACAATAAACTGATCAGTGGTGGTGGTGGGTTTTAAAATATAGGAGGCACACTAAATGTTAGCGGTCTGGGGATTGTTTGTCTGTTTTAAAATGGCTTAAAAATGTTTTTTTTGTCACTTTTAGACGAAATTTTAAGAAAATGACATAACACATATGCAAGACGATATAAATATAATTTCACTCACCGACCTATCACCTGAAGAAAAAACATCCCATGCATGGGGTCTACCTTTATTTTTAATTTGTAGCTGTTGATACACGCTGATAAATACATGTAGCTGATAAACACGCTGAAAAGCGATTATGCGTGTTGATAGCACGCCAAAAATGGAAATACGAATTGGCGTGTCATACATACGCCATTTCATGAGATCAGTCTGGCTGTTTAATGACAGCTTAGCAAATTTAATGGTGATTAAATATTCAATTTATCTACCCTCAATAGTTAAAGTAGTTGCTAGATTATCAGCGGGAGAAGTTCAAATTATCACATAAATTATGTCTCTACGATGATTGGTTCTAAATGAAGGGAGGCAAGCCTCCTCTGCAATGTACTTTTTTTACAACACTCTAACCGATGAAAGTCAAATACTCAACGGAGTTTGAACCAATGGAGGTAAAAGTCTCTATGGATTTGCCTCCCCCTCCCTTTCTTTCCCTCAGACTCGCTTTAGCACAGTTTTCTAAATGGTTTAACAGCAGCGATGGTTTTCGACTTAAGTAATATTTTATTTTGTTACAATGGTGAAATTACAAACATTATTGTATGTAAACTCAAAATCGTGTCTCCCATGACGTGCTGCCAATGAGACAGACTGATCTTCATGACAAACTTCACCTCCATGAGCTTATAACTGCTGAGACCCAATCAATGAGTCAGTGAGTCATTCGATGACACATTCAATGCAGTTTTGTGAACTAGATCCACCAATTTATTGAACAAATCTAATTTAAAAGATTGATACACTGCTGATTCTCAGTGAATAACATCTCAGTCACATATACCGACCATTTTTAATGATATGTTTATGGTGCATTTGCGTTCTTTTTAAATGGGAATAAGTGCAGATCAAAAATAAAACAGTCTGCATAATTTATCTTATATTTTATGGGAGAAATAAAGTCATATAGGTTTGGAATGACATTAGGGTGAGTTAATAATGACTATCCATTTAAGGGAAGCTGCACTCAGTCCAACAGACCACAGAAACTGACCTTACAATCTGCGCTTTTAATTGTTTCCTGTTGATTAGCATTAGTCAGTCTTATGAAGGAGGTTTTCCATCCTTCGCTTCCTACCCTGCTATCAGTGCATTGAATGGAGTCTGTCATAATGGACTTTTCAAACCATTGAAGTGTGTTGTTGTTGTTGTTGTTGTTGTTTTTTTTTTTTTATTTTTTTTTTTATTCTGTCGCTTGAATTAAGAGGTCAGGTAACACACAGATGGCCATCTAATGACACAGATGGCCTTACGACTCCTAAATCCCCTATTGCTTTTGGCATTGTGTGTATAAAAAGAAAACTCACAAGAGATTCCCACAGGAAAAATGTCATAAATAACTGTTAAGCTTTAAGCCAGGAAAGACTATGACCGACTATAACAGTCTGATCAATGTAGTGGTTAACTGAGTTATGTTTTGAAATCTAATACTATCACTTGAGACACTATGTAACTAACAAAGAAACAAACAATATAAAAACATAAATGAATAAATAAATATCAGTAATATTCAAATATTTACTAGCGTATTAAAAAGAGTTCAGTGACAATGTTGCATTCAAGAATAGCCTAAGTGGGGTTTGAACACACAACATTAGTTGATAACACACCAGTTATGCTAATTGTCAAAGACACATTAAGTTTAGGCCAAGTACATGACTTTAGGCATACAAATTTTAAAGTTATTAGCTGATTATTACTTTTTTAACAGTACTGCTGTCCCCAACTTCAAAAGTATTTTTGGATCCTGGCTGCAATTACAAAGCATTGCTGTTTAGATTTAAATAGGCAAATGCTTAAGAGTTCATCATTGGATAATTATTGCAGTGATTATTATGTTTCTAGCATGTTATACGTATTTTTGGCAACAGTTCTTCTAACATTTATTGATGGAGTGTGTAACTTTTCAGTTCTTAAACAGCCATGTAGGAAGACACATCATGGCCATATTCCAGGATGACAATGTCAAGATTCATCAGGCTCAAATTGCGAAAGAATGGTTGGGTGGGAGCATGAATAATCATTTTCACACATGAATTGGCACCTCTGAGTCCAGACCTTAAATTCATCAAAAGTCTTTGGGATGTGCTGGAGGAGACTTTACAGAGTGCTACTGTAATTGATGCACCTCTTGATGGAAATAACATCACAACATTTAGATATTTTATCATATATAATTTGTAATATAATCATTTACATGTATCTTTTATTTATTGTATACTTTACAGTTTCATTTATTTCTGTTTGCTTCACTTTTAAATGAAACATCTGTTTTGGGGTTCTTTTCAGTAAGTGATGATAGTTGTCAACAACGATAACTTGTCCAGACTCATAGGAATGGCAGGTGCAACAATGGCCTCCATACTTGTACATAATCAGAAAATAAATCTGTCTTGAAGCCTAAAGGATAAGCACTTAACAACTGAAGGAAAGCACTGAGGGATTGCCAAGCCTTTCCCCCCTGCTTTATGCCAAAAATGAATACGTCTGCAAGTAGTTCCAATTGGACAGGGTTATTTGGTGATTTGAAGTGGTTAAATGACCTCACCAGCCTGTTGGAGTCTGAGAAGAGAGTAATTTGACCAATCTCTTCTTTTGTCTCAGGAGGATGTGTTCCAAGTTCCCTATTTAAATTCTGCAGTTTAATCCATCTTTTCATAATCATATCCAACATAGACCGTGACTTATATTTCCTCTA